CGAGGCCGCGCGCGCCAAGGTGGCGGCCGACAGCGCGCGGGTCGAAGCCACGTGGCTGCGCTCGCTCCTGCCGTCGTCCGTGTTTACCGAGGCGGACGACCGGTCGCTCAAGGTCCGGCTGCTGCTCTCGCGCCTCCACGGCAACGTCGACGTTGTTCTCAACCACGTCCTCAAGAACGTCTCGTCGCTCACGTCCGACGTCCTCGGCAACCCGATCGAGAAGGCGCGTTTGGCGTACGAGTGGGCGCTGGGCGTCCGTCTCTTGCAGGTTCGCTTGGCCATTGCCCATGCGCAGCAATCGCTGCACACGGCCGGCGACACGGCGTTTCAGTCGCTGCTCGTGCAGCTCGACGGGCCATCGACACATCAACTCGACGTCGCGCTCGATGGTGTCCTGATCTCGCTCGGTGTCGACGGCGGTCTGAGTGGCGGGAGTGACGCGCAGCCGTCGTCGTCGGACCGACTCTTGTCGGTCGCCGCCGAGTGGAGTGCACTCTTCCCGCTCACGCACGTGACGCAGGCGTCGCTCGTCAAGCTCCAAGCCCAGGCCCACGCATCGATCCTCTCGCTGCACTGCGCGATTGCGTTTTTGCACGACGACCTCCCGCTCGAGCTCCGGGGCGCCGTTTGGAACCTCGCACTCCAAGTCGCCCGGCGCGCCGAGTTGGACCTCGGTGGCGAGGCTTCCAGTAGCGACGACGACGACGACGATTCGGAGATGCGACATGTGCTCGCGACGGTGGTGGGCGGCGTCGTCCTCGAGCAGTTGCAAGCCTACGCGATCGAGAGCGGGGACTTGACGACCGAGACACAGCTGCAGTCGTTCAAAGAGCGTCTCGCGGTGCTGTACAAGGCCGTGGCCAAGGGCGCGCTCACGGATGCATGCGTCCTCGTACCGAGCGCCGTGCCGCCGGCGCGCCGCCAACCGACGTGGGAGCTCCGCGCCGAGATGGTGCGGTCCGAGCTCGCGAGTGCGTCGACGCTATTGACGTCGTTGGAGGAGACGACCGACGTCTGCCATACGCTGCAGGCGCGGCTCAAGGAGCTCGAGAAGGCCGAGAGCCAATCACGCGTCATTGTGCAAAAGCTCGAGCACGACGTGACGCGCCTCAGTGACGCAATCTCGGCGGAAACGAGTTTGACGAGCAAGCTTCAGTCGCAGCTCACCCAAGAGCGGGCGCAGTTTGAGCAAATGCTGTCCGAGCAAAACAAGGAGCGCGCGGCGCTCGAGAGTGCGCACCGGCAGCTCCGCAAGCAGCTGCGGCGCAACAGCGACCTCCCGTCGACGCCGACCAAGACGACCGAGTCGTCGACGCCATCCTCATCGTCCTCGACCGTCTCGACGAGTCAAGTCCGGGCGCTGGAAGCGGCCTTGGCCGAGATGCATGTCGCGATGCAGCGGCTGCGTCAAGAAACCGCGTTGGAGCGCCTGGAGGCTGCCCTCGCGCCCCTTCCGCCCGTGCGCCCGCCCACGAAGCTCGCTGCTTGTCTCGACAACGTCCGCCGCGTCGAAAGCCAAGTGCTCGCGATGGCGTCGCTCCCGTCCTTGTACGTGGTCGGTGGCACTCGTACGACCAGCGCGTCGCCCGCCACGTCATCGCATATCGTGCCGCTCGCTAAGACGATCGAAAAGCTGCGCGCCGAAATCGCGTCGACGGCCGCCACCGAAGGCTTTGGCGCCGACGTGATCGCGGCGGTCCGCGCCAACGAAGTCGCGTTCGCGGGCCGCTCGGTCGACAGCGTCCACGCCTCCGCAGCGGACGTGCCGGCGCGCGTCGGCCGCCTCACGTTTCCAGGTCCTCGCAAGGCGGCGTGCAGTGCCGTCAAGGTCGTGCTCTCGTCGTCTGAGCTGCACACGCTCTCGCGCGCGCTCTTGTGCTAAGTCGACACTCGTCCATCGTCCTATCCGATCTCCACGCGTCGGACGGATGATGGATGATCAATATGTATATGTGCCATGCTGGACACCGCGTTGGAGTACTTCTTCTTCGGAGCTTCGTGGCGGTCTCGTGGTGGCTCGGTGGTCGAGCTTGCTTGTATGCATGGTGGATAACTTGAGCATCCGAGAGGCTTGAATGATTTTTGTGCAGTGTGGAATGCCATTTCTGCCAGGTATCAGATCTGAGATCTGGAGTGCACGCGAGGCAACGCGATGGAATTTACCAGGAGGCGACGTCGAGTTGTGTTCCCTGTTGACTCGTACGTTTCACCAACATCCCGTAGACTCTTCATCAGAGCACACGGCGCCAGAGCTTTGGGTTGCCTCATGGCCACCCGAACCTCTGCAATCCATCATGGGGCTGGACGCAGTGGCCTCCGTACTCGGCGATTGCCTCCGCGAGGACCTTGCTCCTAGACCTTTTTACTTATTAGGGTGTTAGGGTTTTTACTGCTTGAGCGTACCGGGGAAATACCATAGACGCTGTTGACGCCGGCAAGAGCTGCGATGGCCACGGTCAGTCATCATGACGGACTCTCAAGGCGCCATCAATGGACGCATTGGCGACGAGGGCAGGAAGACGAGGAACGGTTATCAGATCGTCGACGACGACGGTGGGTGTTGCGATCGTCTCGCACGACACCAGCAAGCGCTGGCAGGTGAACCAAGAGTACAGCAGTGGAAGATAGTACGGCCACCGAGGGTACACGAAATAGTGTCAGCGTACGGAGGAGCATACAAGGATATATTCACGTCTTTCGCCTAGTACTGTAGTTGTTGTTTAATCCAAATCCATCTTGTCGCTCTCGGCGTTGTCGTCGGCCGTCGCCGACGGGGCCGGCGGCGCCTCGACCTTGGGGAGCGGCTTGGGCTTGGTGATGATCGGGAGACCCGACGCGCGGAGCTCGACAATCTTGGCGCGGATGGCCGCGGCCGTGACGACGGGCGCCGTCGTGAGGCTCGCGGCGGCCTGCGCGTTGAGCTGGTCGAAGAGCCACGTCTCGATGGTCGTGGCCGCGTTGCGCAGCGTGTTGCAGTCCTCGTCCGTCCAGTGCGAGTAGGCCTCGTCCGTCGAGTTGGCGAGGCGCTTGTACTCCTCAATGACGGTCTTGAGCTCGTTGGTCGCGACCGGGCGCTCCGAGTGCTCGACGTAGCGGGCGTCAATCGGGCTGCTCAGCGCGCGGAGGCCGTCGAGCTTGGTCTGGTAGATCGACTTGATCGAGTCAAAGCCCTCGTCCGAGTAGAGCCAGTCCTCCATGTCGTTGAGCTTGTTCTCAATGTCGTCGCGCTCGGGCGCGGCCACAAACTCGGCGTACTTCTCGCCGAGGTGGTTGCGGAGGTCGTACACAAACGTCTCGAGCTCGTTGCGCTTGTTGGCCGTCTCCTCAATGATGCGGTCCTGCTGGGCCATCGCGAGCTCTTCCTCCGTCGCCTTGGCGACCTCGGCGGCCGAGAGGCCGTTGACACTCGGCGTCACCTTGAGCTCAATCTTGCGGAAGCGCTTCTTCTTGGGCTCCTCCTTCTTCTCTTCCGACGCTTCCTCGCCTTCCTTGGTCTCCTCTTCCTTGATCTCGACCATCATCTGGCTCGACGCGACCTCGACGAGGCCGTGGATGTCGTGCTTGATGTTGACGCGGATGCGCGGGACCTCGTCCGTCTCGCCGACCGGGATGCCCGACACGGTAAACTTGCCAATCGACTGGTACGGCGACGGCGGGAGGTACTCGATGGCCGTCTCGTCGTACGCCGCGTCGATCGTAAACGACTCGGCACGGCGAAAGCTGACGCGCTTCGTCTTGGGGAAGTCGTCGGCGCGGGTGAAGAGGAGCACCGAGTTGGCGTCGCCAGCACCGAGCGACGGCTCGTCGTCGTCGGCGATCGCGTCGTCCTTGAGCGCGTCCGTCGACGCCTTCTCCCACGAGACACGCACGGGGAAGTTGACAATGTCGGCAATCGAAAAGTCCTTGACCTTGAAGAGCGGCGAGAGGATCGCGCACTGGAGCGCGCAGCCGCGGGCCACCGCTTCGTCGGCGTTGAGCGTCGTCGAGAGACCCATGTTGGGCTTCTCCTTGTCGAGGCCGAGGATGTCGGCGAGCTTGCGCTTGACCGACGCGACGCGGACGCCACCGCCCACAATCTCGACGCACGAGAGCTGGTCCTTGGTGATACCGGCGTCGGCGAGCGCCTTGACGATCGGGCCCTCGAGGCGGTCGAGGAGCGGCGCAATGAGCGTCTCGAATTCCTCCAAGTCGATCTTGGCGTTGTAGTCGATCTCGTCGACGAGGCACTCGACCGCGAGCGTGGTCGAGTTGACGCCCTGCGGCGAGAGGTTCTTCTTGGCCTTCTCGCACGCGCCGAGGAGCTTGATGCGCGACTTGGCGTCGGCGAGCGGGTCCTTCTTGTACTTGGCGACAAACTTCTCCGAGACGTCCTTGGCGAGCGCCATGTCAAAGTTGCGGCCACCGAGGAAGCGGTCGTACGCGACCGACTTGACCTGGAGCTTGCCCTGCACGAAGGCAACGACCGACACGGTGTACCCCGAGTGGCCAATGTCGACAAACATAACGTGCTCGGGCTCCGACTCGTGGAAGAGGTTGCGGAGCGACTTGTAGATACCGTACGAGAGCGCGACGGCCGTGTGTTCGTTCATGAGGCGGAGGCAGTTCATGCCGGCGATCTTGGCCGCCGACAGCATCGCACGGCGCTGCATGTCGGTAAAGTAGCCCGGGCACGAGATGACGCAGTACGCCGGGTTGACGCCCTCGTTGGCGACCGCCGCGATGGCCTGCATCTTGTTGAGGAACATACCCACGACCTGCTCGCACGTAAACGTCGTCGGCGTGTCGTTGTAGTTGAGCACGATGCCCACTTGGCCGTTCGGGAGCTCGACGCACTTGAAGCCGTAGAGCGCAATCTCTTCCTGCACATCGGCGGCGGCAAACTTGCGGCCAATGAGGCGCTTGACGTCCGTGGCCGTGTTCTTGTACTGCGTGCGCGCCATGCTCACGGCGCCCTCGCCAATGTAGCGCTGCTTGCCCGAGACGCAGACCATGCACCTACCACCAGCATCCGCATGAGCCCATGTCCTCGTTGCCAGGAGAGTTCGCGTACGGGTTCTTGCGGTTCGAGTTCTCGTTGAGGATGATGTCAATGCCACCGCGCTTGGCCTGGCCAATGACGCATTCGACGTTGCCGTAGTCAATACCGATGACCGACATCTCGCTGTGCTTCCTGAGCGGTCAAATGCCAAAATGATGCTTCGCCCACCACTGTTAGTCGCTGGATCTTTTCCACCAATGGCCTCGCGCGAATCCAAACGCACGCTTCCCATTGGCCATAATAGAGCACTTCCAGAAGCTTCCAATCGCGACCGATGCATGCAGTCTCACAGGATATCAAATCTGGATCGGTGCCGCGACCTGAAACGTCTCGAATCCAGTTGCTCGCATCTGGTTTTTCCAGAAATATGCGTTGTCACAGGTTTCCCAAAACGAAGTCAAAGCATCAGGAGCGCTCGGATTGGTCCACCAAATCTGGATTTTGTCCGCAGCGGGTGTCTTTTTTACAAAACAAAACAATTCCATACAAACACCCTGTTATTAAAATACATCCAAACACCACGCGGGAGCGTGGTGTGGGCGGCAAGTGCACCAGATTCCAGATCTTATTGCCACACGGCGATCTTCGAGGGACGTAGACTTGCCACTGCAGAAAATGGTGGCGCGCAGACGCTTGGGTGCAGCGCCGTGATCGACACCGTTCGTTCGCGTAGGATGGGCGGCGAAGAGGACTGACGCCAGCCAAAAAGATCAAGCGCGCGACCGCGACATGCTGTACCCGTCACCTGCGTCTCTACTTGAAGTTGGCAAGGATTCCATGGCGAGCTTCTGGAAAGGTCGCGCCAGAAGAGTGAGCGAGTAGACTGTAGTCGTCTCCAATACGAGCCTCTGGCCAGGACCACAAAGCAACCAGACGAGATTGATCGCATATTTCTTTGCGTGTGTCGATTAGAGCTCGGTCTTTTGCTTCTTGGCCGCTGGCGACTCGTCGGGCGTCGGCGCCGCGCCCAGTTTGGTCAGCGTCGCGTTGCCGTCCTTGCGCACCCAGCCAGCGTGCACGAAGAACTCGTAGATCTGGCCCGTCTTGGTCGCATCTACATTGCCTCGTCACCCCAGCCTCCAAGCATCCAAGCGTCTACCGATTTGAATCATGTTGGCGGCCGTGCCCGCGTCGAGGTGGCCGAGACGGTAGCTCTCTCGCACCAAGACGTCCTTGATGACGAGGTACTGCTTGGGCAACAGCTGGAGGCGCGCGCAGAGCTCCTTCTCCTTTGGCGTCAAGAGGTGCGCACCGGGTGCACCGTCAATGATGCCGCTCGCGCTCTCACCGTCCTGCTCCCGGGAGAGCCACCGGCTGCTGCGCTGCCGGTTCGCAGTCGGGCCGCGCGACGAGTCGTAGAGGTACGCCGCACTACACATCCTCGTTAAGTAAAACCAAGAAATGTATCGACTCGAGCGTCTTGAGAGTACCTTTCCCGGGACTTTTGCAGCGCTTGCTCGGTCTCACGCTTCTTCTTGTCGAGCTCGTACATCTCTGCTTCGGCGAGGGTTCGAATCCCGCGCTTGCGGTACTCTTGGAGCAGTGCGATTTGTTTGCGGAGACGCATGGCGGCGAGAAGACCCGACACAAACGTGTCGTGGTCCTCCTTGGAGTGGAAGCGAGCGAACGGCCGGACCTGCGCAATGAGCTCGCGCTCTTCCTTGGGGCGGCGCCGCTCGACCTGTAGAGCACGCGGTGAGGAAAGGCCATCCGTATTTGGGACAGGGATCGAGCCGTCGTACTTGCTGGTATTTCTTGTAGTCGAGGAGGCCATGCTCAATGACAAACTTCTTGCGGCGCTCGCGCTCGTCGAGCTTGGCGTTGTAGATCGCAATGACCTTGAGCTTGAGTTCGCGCTCGGTCGGGTGGTCGTCGTCGTGAAACTCCATGTCGGCCAAGATGAGCTCGGCGTCGTTCTCGTGTTCGACGTCAAAGTCACCGCGAAGTGGCATGTAGCCGGCGAGGGCGCCGCCCATCTTCTCTTTCTCGTCGTCGGCGGCCAGCGCAGCGGCTGGCGGCTTGGCCTTGGCCGGCGACGGCTCGTCGACGGGATGGCGTAGCTTGAGGTACTCGGTCACGTAGTGCGCTTCGCACTTCTTGTCCGTCTTCGAAGCCACGTGCTCGGCAATGTCCTTCCAGTTGCCCATGCCAAACATCTCAATGCCCTCGAGCAAAAGCAGCTCTTCGTCCGCGGTCCACTCGGGCTCGAGGAGCGAGTACGCCAAGCAGTCGGACACGCGGTACGGATGGTCCTTGCGGTGCTCTGGCGCACCGGGCACGTCTTCGACGCCGACCGAGAAGCACTCGATGCAGAGCACGAGCGGGCCTTTCTCGGGCGCGCACTCGGCGCACGTGATGCGGATGAGGCGCGTGAGGTCGCGCGTGCAGTACTGGCAGCTCACCTACGCGCATCATGAGCCCATGACGGTCATGATGCACATGCTTTACCTTGTCCTTGGATTCGCCCATGCGTATGGCTTGGGAATCGACCTACATGGCGCCGGTCCATGAGCTGCGCCCGGCCACGGCCGCGTACCTTGGTCCCGCGAACAAGAACACCGGTTCCGCGAAACCTGAATACAACCAATCAAAGTGCGTTACAATGGTAAAATGCTTCTTTTGTCCAATCCACACCGCGAATGAATTATATTTTAAACCAATCAGGTGGTGTCTTCCAGCGCGTCGATAACCGGTTGATTGCTCACTTGGTTCGCGTCGGGAGATGTCAGGACGATCGCCGATACAATACCAAGTGTCGCTACCTCACATCCGCAGAGATACCCTCGTGGCCGTGCTGCGTGCATAGGCCTTGCGTCTTCCGATACATATGTACTGTAGCTCGTCCGGCAATCAACTGGTCTACTCGCGCGCCATTGGATAAAAATCGGCTCGAAAGGGCCAATCCACGACGTCCACCATGTACTTTCGCCAGCAAATCCGGCGGCTTGCGACCAAGGAGGCCGTGTACCTGCATCTCTCGCCCTGCGGCGACTGGTGGCTCGGCAGCAGCATGTATGCAGCGAAGCACCTCTCGAGCGACTACGTCAAGTCGCTGCGCCTGCCGGACGCCGACGTCGAGGCCGTCCTACAGCAGCTGCCCGACGACGCCTTTCGCCGCATGTATGACGATGGCACGCTGGACCCGCGCCTTTGTCTGCCCACAGCGCCCTAGAGCTCTAATCGCCGCTACATCCGAGTGACAGGCTATCTTGTTATCATCATCGCTACTGTGCTCCAATGCAGTCATTTCGCAGTTTTGGACTTTTGGTACTACGTTTGTAGTACGCTGCAAAGCTGGCGTGGCTCACTCGCGCCGCCAGCACTCGCGTACGTTGGCACGGCCGAAATGACGCAATGTTGCTGCCGCCATTGTCCGAATGCCATCAGAATCAATCGTACCGGGAGCAAGCCCGTCACCTCTGCGGGGGCTAGGAACAGTCGTCCCTACCGCCGATCTTGGATGGAGATCGTTGCCAATCCATTCTATGTAAGAACATGGCTCGCTTTGCACGCCTCTGCGAGGCCCAGCGTTGGAGCTTCGTCACCATCATGGGTCGCAAGAGACTCGGGCAACGTCATTCGGCTACCCACTCGGAAGTCTGGACTCGGCGGTTCAAGGTCCGCTACTACCGTGCGACGGCGCTTTCTGCAGAACGCCGCGCCCACGTGGCAGCACCAACGGCGAAAAGTCAATTGGGCGCAAACGTCCGTCGAAAAAATAGGCTCCACTCATTTCATCCACAACAACGGGATCGTCCTCATGTCGGGCTCTTCCAGTCTGCATCTGGCCAGATTCGGTCTGCAAACACGTGCTCTCTACATGTACAGTCGACTCTCCCTAATTGCATAGTGGATAATTTATGCATCCGAGAGGTATATTAATTGTGCAAGGTAAGAAATATAAAGCCCATGAATAATATTTTTCGTCGACCAGGTTGAGCTTCAGTACAAGACGAAGCTGCTGAGCGACCAGCTCCTGGAGCTCATGAGGAAGCCCAAGCAGTACGGTGTGACGTGGAGCGAGCAGATGCGGTACCTCCCCCATCTGCAGCGCAAGATGAGTGCACCCAACAGCCTTGCCATCGACATGTTCTGCCGCTACGCGTGCCCCGAGCACGCGGTCGTGCTCCTTGCGCACTCTGCGTTGCGTCGCGACGACCCGGCGACGATGGACGAGCTCGTGGACTTGCTCGTGGCGCTCACGAGCACTGGCGACGAGTACGGTCGGCCGGCGCAAGGGCCGTCGTGCTCGAGCACAAGCCAGCGCCGGTGTATCGACGGACGCTACCCCCGACGGTGTCGACACCGACCACGCGCACTGATCGTCGGCAGCGCAACCGCGCCATCCGGCTCGCTGCGTCGTCGCCTTTTGATGGCCTTGCTCGTGGACACAGCGCGCGACTTTGGCGTCACCTTCGGTCATTCGGCATCAAATTTATTCTATTACGTTTTGAGCTGTAAAAAATCAGGGTCGGACTGTATCACACTGGAGAGGAATATCGAGTTTCGGGATATGCAATTAGGGAGAGTCGACTGTAGTTCTAGTGTCGGTACGAGGTACTCGACTCCCTACCGTGCGACGTACTGCACTCTCTGCTACAAAAGGATCACATACAGGGTTCACATTTACTGGTATATATATTTGCATATGCAGGAGCTCCAATGTCGCTTGCATCGAAGACTGTACATCGTCATGCTAGACGTTTATTTATTCACCAGGGCGACCCGCCGACAGAATCGCGTCGTTTGTGACCTTGGCTTGGGCGCTCGCGAGGCTCTGCACCGCCATCTACAACCATCCCATGGGCTCAGCGTACTACAGCTTTCCCGCTTTTGTACCGTGTATTTCGGGTTTTTCGCCATGTCGTACGTCTTGACGGGCGCGGCAAACGCCTCCCACGTCCGCATGCGCGCTGCATTTTGCGGCCAGCGCCGCGTGAGCACGCCGTTCTCGTCCACGACAAAGCCTTTGGCGACGTCACAGGCGTAGCTCAGCCCAACGTGGCGCTCAAAGAGCGCCGAAAACGGCGGGAACGGCGAGGCATCGTCCGCCAGCGCCGTCACCGTCGGGTGCACAGTCGCGCGCACACAGAGTCGCTTGAGACTGCGGCGAATGCAGCTTCGCAAGATGCGCAGCAAGGGCGTGAGCAGCGGCCAGAGCGTACTCGAGAGCAGCATCCATAACGTCACGAGCACCAGTAGGAAGAAGACGGGAAACGTATCGAGGCGGATGATTTTCAGAAAAGCCTTGAGCAAGTAGCGGTACAGCGTCCGAACCACCGGCGACGCCGACGTCATCTGCGTCTCCAGGGCCATTTGCACCAGCGCAGTCGGGTCGTCGCTTAGCAGCGCCGTACTGTTGCCGCCATTTATTGACGACGCGAGGGCATTGACCACTACGTTGACCGAGAGCAAGTCGGACGCGAGAATCGACGAGTTGCCAAACATCCAGGCCGAAAACCCGAGGTGGAGAAAGAGGACCCACGGCAGGAGCTGCATGGCGAGCGACCCAAGCGCCTCGTCGAACGCCGTGCGCACGCTGCAGAGCTTCATGATCGTGAGCTTGTCCAGCAGGTACGTGAGGAAGAGCGCGAGCGCGCCCACAGGCAAGAGCACGGGGAGACCACCGGCGTACATGAGCGTCACAAAGAGCGTGTTGAGCACGACGGGGTACCGCAATGCAATGTTGAAGCTCGGGTTCGCGTACAGCGCATTCATTTGCGCCTGCGTGACAGCGTACCGTCCACGAAAGCAGCGCGAGAGCGGGTATGTCACGTACAAGTTGAGGACCGGGCCGATCTGCGGCGCAACTGCGTTGATGAGCATCGTCATGGTCAAGCCCGCGCCAACGCTCGTGTACCAGTCGCGCTCAAAGTCCATGTACTGTCCGCTCAGCAAGGAGCTCACGAGGGGGACGTTGCCAAGGCTCGCGTTCACGATGAGCACGATGACCGCCGTGTTGATCCACTGCGCGAAAAAGAGCTTGAGGACGACCGCCGCGGCCTTGCGCGACTCGGACGAGTGCCGCTCGAAGGACGCAAACGCATAGAAAATCCCTTGGAGCCCGACGTTGACCAGAATCACGGTGAGGGCCGCGGCAATGAGCAGACTCGTCTTGGTCAAATACGCTGTAATGTAGCTCTGGCACGGAAGCTCGTTGGTCCAGAGCTGGCGCGGCCCGTGGAGAACGCCGTCCTTCTGGATCGCCGCCTCGAGAAGCGGCATGCAGTAGCAGTTGAGGATGCTATCGGGCGCATAGGCTTCGCATTGACTCGACGCGTTATTTGACGTTCGCATTCGGTCGGTTGTAAAGCACGGCAGCGTGCCGCACGTGGCCGCTGCGTCGACCGAGACGTTGAAGCACGGCGATATGCACCGGCTGAGGTTCTGTGGCGGGCGAACGTCGTTGTAGTTGAGAAACGGTGGCAGGAGCGGCGGTGGCGCCGACACATTGGCGAATGTGATGGCAAACGACGCGTCGCTGCCGCACAAGATCGAGTCGTTCCAGACAAGCGTCCCCACACGGCTGCTGTCCGTGGGTGTACTCGACGGGCCTTCGTATACGTGCTGAATCTTCTCGCACAGGTTGGTCAACACGGGCACGTTGAACTTGCGCTGACTGCTGTTTGCGAGCGAGATGACGCCGCACGACAGCAAGAGCAGCAAAAACGTCAATATGTTGGTCAGCGAGCGGCTACATTGCGAGGAGGGTTAGGGTCCGTGGTGGGCGCTGAACGTTGTACCGAAGAAAGCGCGAGGTCGCCGACGTCTCGAGGTTTTCCCAAATGATGTTGGACGGCTCGGGCGCGGGCTCGACGATGATCGCAAATTGGCCGCGGAAGCGCAGGTCTTTTGGCTGCCACAACCGCTTCCACGACGAGCTGCTCGTCCGGTAGTCGCGCAAGCAGCGCCGGCGGCTCTCGGTGTTTTCAAACACAATGTAGGCGCACTCGCACTCGGCGAGTCTACGTACGATGGCGTTCACGCTTCCGCTTGGAAAGTCTCGATTCCGCGTCGTACCGTCGCAGCCCCGTCGTCTTGAGCGACGTCATCTTGCCGACGATTCTTTCCATTCGCGCTTGGAGCCGCGTCTGGGTGGCTTCGGCAAGAGCGAGTTTTTTGGCATACCGCGTCTATTCGCCAGAGATAACACCTCTCTTGCGCTTGGAGAAAGACGCTGGTACCGGCAGTTTGCGATAGGCAGATAGAATGTCCTCGAGCGCAGCGAGCTGTGTCGTGAGATGCTCGAGCGACAAAAAGTGCCGAAGAAGCCCCCCAGTGGGGCGGGCGATCGCCACTTGGGCGACCCATTTGCCTAAGTAGGTCGCATCGCCATCCACGTGCTCGACATTTGCGACAACGCCCGCTGTGGCCGGGACCTACACAGTTTACCTTCGCATCATCCATATCGCAGCACATACGTTCAAACAACCGTTGTGGGACGGCGGGGAGGACGGCGTCGCCCAAAGCAACCGAGCCAGAGCGGGTAGTGCATCTCTGGCAGTGTGAGCGCATAGCGCGCGTTAAAGTGCTCGAGCAGCTCGGCATCGGTCGCGTCGCGCGGGAGGCCCTTGACGCGCACCGCGTACTTGGCCGGCGTGCTATTTTGCACCGCATCGAGGCGCACAGCGCGCCGCGAGAGGTGGCCAAAGAGCCCGATGAAGATCCAAAACACAATCGAGTAGGCGCAGTCGCAGCCCGCAATGATGTACGACCTAAGACAACGTTGTTTCCATCATCTCTCAAGGTAGAGGTTTGTACGTACGCGACTTTGGGGTCGGATGTCAGCGGTGTGTCGATCGTGCTTCCAGAGCAGTCGACGTGTCCGCCGCTGGCTTGACACAGCGATGCATCGATGCCCGGGTTGACGCCTTCGTTCGCAATCGAGAGGTACGTGAGCTTGAGCGGGTCAGCGTTGGCCGCGAGGATGCCGTGGCCATAATAATGGAGCACTATAATATACAGTAGAGTCCCGTGTGGCTCTCCTGCCCATGATGGAGTAAGACGAGCGCTGTACCGGCGCTGGGTACGGCAAAAACCGACAGGATGCCAAGCACGATCGCGCCGTACTTGATGAGCATAAAGTAGAGCTGGACGCCGATCCCGAGCTCGCCAATGTCCCGCAACGTCGTCTTGCGAAACGCCTTGCCGGCCCCCAGCCGCTCGGCGAGCGCGAGGGCCTTGGCGGTTTGTGCCATGGCCGACCGCGACGGGCCCGTGTCGCAGGGCTCGCGCGCCTCGGCCGTCTTGAGAGGCGCGACCTTGCTCATGCGATCAAGCGCGTCGAGTGCGTATGTGAACTGCAGTCAGCTGTTGGTTGTCGGTTGTATTGCGACGTTATCCCGCTCAAAATAGACAGGCGGGTTAACACTTTCACGGTGGCGTCGTGGTCGAAACGCGCTCAAAGGTCGCGAGGACGTCGTCCAGCGAGGCTTGCTGTCGACGCAGCTGCTCGATCTTGGCCGTGGCATGCGACCGCTTCTCATGAAGGCGTCGTCGCCGGGCGTTGGCGGCGTCCAGTGCGACTTGGAGCTGTCTATGCACGTTCTAATTAGCTCATTGGGCCGTGCGCACATAGAGCGTACGATGTCTGGATCGCGATCGTTTCGCAGCAGTAGTTGGCATACTGGGCTGCGAGCTGCAGCAAAAGCATGGCCGGGTACAGCTCGCCGTCTGTGAAAACAGTGCAGTTGGAGTCGACGGAAGCAACACACGAACCTTCGTTGCAGTCGCCGTACAAGACGGTGTCGAGGCATGCCTCGAGCGCGGCCGTGTCCACCTACAGACAGTCGCTTGCGTAAACATGGACGAGGCGTCCCTACGTGATGCACGATCGCGCCGAGATGGAGAGGCTGCAGAGCACGCCAGTCGATGCGATGACTCGGTACTTCAAAGCGAAAGTCCATCGTGCGTGGCGGCGTTATTGTCGTCGTCTTGACCACAATAGAAATGTGCAGTGCCATGTTGGAGGCTGGGAACGTCCACCACTCGGGGTCTGTGGCCGACGCCGTTCGCTGGACGGCAGCAACAAAGGTGTCGTAGGCTTTGGCACAATCCCACACCTCGATCGAGACGATCGGCGCAGCGTCGTCGCTCGGCCATGCGAGCTAGGATCGATGAACCGTCGTTGTGATGCAAGGGCGTACCTCGAAGCGCAGCGGCTGCGTCGGGACCCATAGCGCGTCTGCTGGCGGCGGCGGTGGCGACGGCGACGGCGCGTCTGCTCTGGGCACAGCGTTGGGCAGGAGCGCGAGGCGCAGGCGGCAGTCGGTCGGCAGATGACGCCCGGCGTGGACCACGACCACGACCGTCGACATCGAAGAAAGATTTATTGACATTGTCATTTACGTGGAAAGATATCGGAACACTGTACGAGACAGAATCTACCAGGAAGCACTGCAATTCAGGCACTGACAACGACACAATGTGACATGTCTTGTCGTCAAGGACACGAGCGATCGCCGCGCAAGAAAAGCCCTCATGGACTTCTCAGAAGCTCCAACTACTGGGGAACGCTGTACCTCGAGTGCGCAATCTGGCATTTCGCCGAGATTGGCCAGCGCCTACGTGTGGCAGTAGATGCCTCATACAGTGGTTGAGCACTGGATGAGGCATCTACTGCCACACTACGCCACCGACCCATGCGCAGCTCGATCCCGAGTTCATATCAGAGGGGAGAGATGATACCACAGCACTATCTGGCGTTGCAAGTCCATTATTGCCAGTGCAGCGATCACTGAGCTGGTCACGTCAACGGCCAACGACACAGCCACGAGGCGGGAACGATGCCGCCATCGCACCCTCTCTGGATGCTGTCTTGGCTGCAAATTTCTAAGAATACCGCAATTTGCCTTCTATATTCGCAAAATCCCCACTAGCTGACAAACCAGCCAATCACAACCCCTTTACCCTCTTTTTAGGGCCAATCCGATCCACGTATTCCTTAATTGCGTCTTTTTGAAAATATTCCGGCAAATTGCGTTTTTTTAGAAATCCTCTTTGGCTGCTGGAGTGTTGAGCACCGTCATGACGACGACGCTTGGGCCGTGATGAAGAGTCTTATGATCGGACAGTGGAAATTCACACAGTGGTTTCGACGCCATGAGATGGAACCAACGTGTAGAGGTGGAATTGTGTCTCGTTTTTGATCGCTACTCTCTCTACCACTGCACAACGTTGGTGCGTTTGCAGCCGTGCGCGAGGAGCGTCGCGACCATCTCGGCGCGCGGCACCGTGAACTCTTCCTTCGTCGCGAGCACCTTGACGTTGACGCAGTCGTTCTTGAGCTCGTCTTCACCAAGCACCACCATGTACGGGATGCCAGCCTCGAGTGCATACTGGAGCTGCTTGACAAACTTGGGGTTCTCGCTCGGGAGGATCTCGGCCGCAATGTTGCTCTGCCAGAGGTCCTTGCACACGCCGAGGCGCGTCAAGAGCAGATCCTTCGACGTCTGCGCGACGAGCACCTGCGCCGGCGCCTTCGCCGCCGCGTTCGTCTCTTCCGCGTGCTTTTGGAGCATGCCAAAGATGCGCTCAATGCCCATGCTCACGCCGACGCACGGGATCTGCGCGTTCGTGGCCGAAAACATGCCGACGAGGTTGTCGTAGCGACCGCCGGCGGCAATCGAGCCGACCTGGCCAGCGTTCGAGCCCGTGAGCACGAATTCGTAGATGAGGCCCGTGTAGTAGTCGAGGCCGCGCGCAAGCGAGAGGTCGAACGACACATACTCCAAGACGCCCATCGCATCGAGGTAGTCGAAGAGCAGCGAGAGCTCCTTCATGGCCTCGGCGGCCGGCGCGTTGGCGCCAAAGCGCTTCTCGGCCACGAGCTTGGCGTGGAGGTCCCGGGGCGACCCGACTTGGGTCACAAACCCTTGGATGCGGTCCGCGACCTCGGGCGCCACGTCCTTTTCGTCGACCATTTCCGCGCGGACCGTCTCCCACGACTCCTTGTCGAGCTTGTCGATGGCCGAGCACGTGGTGCGGATCTTGTCTTCGGGCACGCCGCAGATCGAGAGGATCGCATCGAGGAGCTTGCGGTGGCTGAGCTTGATCTTGAACGACCCGAGCTGCGGGAATTCCTTGAGCACTTCGATGCCGATCGAAATGACTTCGGCGTCCGCCAGCATGAGCGGATACGTGCCGGCAATGTCAAAGTCGCACTGGTAAAACTCACGGAACCGGCCGCGCGCCATCTGCGGGTTGTCGCGACGATAGACGCGCGCAATCGCATACCGCTTGATGTTGCCCGGGTTGTGGAGCGCCATGAAGCGCGCAAAGGGCACGGTCAGATCGTAGCGCAGCGCGAGGAGCTCGCCGCCTTGGTCGGCGAGGTCGTAAATGAGCTTCGAGTCTTCGCCGTACTTGCCCGTGAGCGTCTCCTTGAGCTCAAAGACCGGCGTCTCGATCTCGACGCCAGCGTGGCGCTTGAAGACCGCGCGGATCTTGTGGAAGATCTCTTCGCGCAGTTGCATCTGGTGCGGCAGAAAGTCCTGCGCGCCCTTGGCCACCTTGGGCTTGCGGCGCTGGCTGCCGTTCATCGCGCCAAGGCGCGCGTACATCTCTTCCAAGAAGAAGTACAAGCTCGTGGGACGGAAATCAAACGGCGTCAAGATCGCGTTCTCGGCCAAGAAGGCACGGAGCTCGGTCGTGCCGGCGCCCCAGAGCAGCTCGTCCTTGGCCGCCTTCTTAGACTGCTTCTCCTTGGCCTTCTCGGCCTTGAGACGGCGCTTCTCCAGCACCTTGATGCGCTGCGCCTCGGGCATGGCCGCAATCTTGGCGTCCTCCTTGGCTTCGGCCTCGGCGAGCGCCTGCATGGCCGCGGCGCTGAGCGTCGGGCCCTTGGCCTTGGCGTTGCTCTTCGCGGCGTCGGCGTCGGCGTCGGCAATCGCCTGCAGCGCGACCTTGAGCTCGTGCTCGAGGACGCCGACCGTGCTTTGGAGAAACTCAAACGTCGAGAGGAGCGTGCGGTCCTTAAAGTCCGCGGGCGCGATCGCCGTGTGCATGAGCAGCGAGAGGCGGTCCGTGGCGCCCTGCGCGAGCGACTGGAGCGCGACCTGCACCATCGAGAGCGACGTCTTGAGCAGCTCGGGGTGGAAGGCGCCGACGCCGTCGCGGTCGGTCGAGTACAAGTTGGCGTCGACCGAGTTGAGCTCGACCTCGATGGCCTTGGCGGCCTGGCCAATCGTGTCGCGGGCAGGGCCGTGGTACTGCGGAATGCAGCGGATCGCATCCGGGTCCTGGCTGTCGCTGTTGGCGTTCGTGGCCTTGGAGCCATCGAGCATGACGCGCAGATGCGTCGCCGACGTGATGATGCCGCGGTGCGGGCGGTTCGCATCGAGGAACTCGACGTTGAACGGCGCGGTCTGCGCGTGGCGCACTTCACACGTCAGCGCAGCGACGGCGTCGGCCATCGGCAGCAGGCCCTTGGCGCCGGCCACGGTCGCGGCGACGATCGCCTCGAGCGTCGCGTTGCCTTGGGCAAAGGTCGCCATCTCGATCGGCGCCAGCGCAGCCGGAAAGCTCGAGACGACGTCCGAGACGGCGACAATGGCCTTGCCATCCGTGCCGTAGACGCTACCGCGGCCAGCACACACGTCGAGCAAAACGAGCGCGGCCGCATCGACTGCGTCCGACGCCGACGTCGGCACGGGCAGCACGGGCACGTGGTCGTCGTTGAGGAGCGTGGCGAGGAATTCAGCGATCGCGAGCGCGGCCGGCGACCGGAGCTCGCTGTGCTTCAAGATGTAGTTGATGCGTGCGACGAGGAGCGCGCGGGCAATGCCCTTGGGCAGCGACGCCGCCGCGGTCACTGGCACGGCGAGGGGCACGGCCTTGTTCGCGACGGCCGGCGAGAGCGCGACGGGCACGAAGGCCTCGATCGCGACCTTGGCGCCGCAGAACGCGATGGAGCTGAGCTCCTCGAGGCTGAGCTTCTTGCTGCTGAGCGTGACCTTGTTGGCCATGATGATGCAAGTCCAAATGAGCTCCACTCGTGGGCCGTGGACCCACCATGTATTTTATCCCATTTAGCTTGATCTTTGTATACGGCATTAAACCACTGGATTTAATCGGCGACCAGCACATTTTCTTGTGAGCGCCACGAGCATCCGGATTGGCGATGCCAGCGGCTAATCGCACGCAACCTGTGGAGTGAGAGTGATGGTGCGCTCCGAGAGCATTTTCCGTCGGTTCTTCTGGCGACGACAATAGCTACTGATCGTTAGTCGGGTAGGAAGGGTGTGTTGATGGACCCTTGCTGGTAGGTAATGCACAATTCACTGCTCTTCGCAAGCTCCTACTACTACAGCCTACTACTACGCTGTTTTACGGTCTGCCTCCCATGCATCCCAAAAGTGAAATTGTACCTCAGCGCCGTGACGCGAGCTGGCACGATACACAATATCTCGGTGCGAGACGCAACGCGAGGCCATGGCGCGAGGCTGTCGACCGTCCACTATGCAAACCACGATTGAGGTGATTGGCACTTCCACGAGCTCTTCTGCAGCATGCTATCGATGACCGCAATGCGAGGACCGGTAGTAGATGCGTAGTCCAGCAACGTCACCCATTGTGCACCAACTTGGGTGACAGTTCGGAGCCTAATGGTACAGTGTACTAGTACGAATGGACGCTAACGTTGGCGCCAAAAGTCCGTCATTCCAGCGGTTGTTTCAGAGTACGTGTTGATTCGTCTCCGGCGTAGTGTACTGAGGTGTGGCAAGGTCGTCCAAAGAGTCATCCAGGTGGGCATCATGAAACACTGTTCTTGAATCCACTGCTTTCCTGTGCGTGCGACGCGGCGAGTGGCGTGGATTTAGCCGCGTTCTTGTCGTGCATCCGGATACCGTGCGTGCCAGTCGAACCGGTTGCACAAGAAATAGTGTCATTTGAACGGGCGCGAAAGGTCTTTAGTGTAATCGTTGACCCATGGCGAGCATTTCGGTCGGCGCGAGCTTGGGCGTGCGCAGCGCCGCGCGGCCGGCCCGTGCAGCCCCCGCCGCCGAGGCCGACGGGCGCTGGGGACGTCGCGACAAGGTGGTCTCGGAGGCGGCGTGGCCGCAGGCCAACTTTATGCAGCGCATCGACTTTCCAGACGTCGACGCGGCGACGGCGTCGCTCATGGTGCCCCACATCCTCGGTGCCAAAGGCGCCAAGATCTCGGCGGCCTCGCGCGCGTCCAACAGCCGCCTCACGCTGCGCTACGGCAAGTCGGTCGCCGAGAAGAACAACATTGTGATCATTGGCACGACGCAGCTCCGCGTCGAGCACGGCGCGCGCCTCGCCAAGGAACTCCTCGACGACGCTGTTAAGCTCGCGCAAATGCAGCGCAAGTCCAACAAGTCGTCGTCCAGCGAGCTCAAGCGCCCGGTCTCGGTGACGAGCACGACGCCGCGGCCCATGTCGACGCGCCAGCGCGCGCAGAGCTTACCGAGCACGACGCCGAAAAAGCCAGTGGCCCGTCCCGAAGCGCTTGAAATCATTAGCGACTCAGAATTGTCGTCCGAATCCGACGACGACTTTCCTCCGTCTGCCATCCTGACGACAGCACCCTCCATGCCCAAAGACACGCATCCGGAGGTGGTCGATGTGACGGACGACGACCCGGTTGGTCCGGCGCCGTTGCCGCCGCGCCCACCCATGGTCTCGATCGCCACGGATACGTCCCAAGACGCAATGGCCCGTACGTGCTTCCCATCGTTTTCGATTTGCAGAAAGATCCATTTTGGTGTGTAGCCGCCACAGCGTACCATGCAACGCTCCAGCATCTCCAGCACTCGATCGCTTCGGCGCTCGAGAGCGCCGATACCCTCCGGTACATGCCAACGACGCGCGGCATGCAGCGATCGATCGTCGCGTCCAAGCGCAAGCTGGCGGCGCTGCAGCAGCTCCACACATGGCATCAAATCCATTTTCGGTATCCCAAGTTGCCGACGCTGCCCGTGTCCAAGCGTCTTGGCCGCGCGACGCCCCAGGAGCTCCGTGCACGCATGCGGCCCGAGGCGCGCAGCGGCACGCCGGGCACACTGCCGACATTTCTCGCACCGCTTCTGCAGCAGCCCAAGCACAAGGCGCAGTGGCTCGGGCTCCGGCACTTTGTGCCGACGTACGTGCCGTACTCGTTTCTGCAGCCGATTCGCATGACGCACCTCACGCTGCATGCGCTGCGCGACCACATGTGTCCGCACCGGTCGCAGTACATTGCGCAATACAACATCCTCGCGACGTCGATCCGGTCGCAGCAGACGGTCCATCTCGAGTACCTCATGCACCTCTGCTGCGCGCTCCGGCAGCTCGTGTGCGACCAGCTCGCGGTCGACGAGTGGCGTCGCCGCGGGTACGTCGAGCCCATGGAGCCGTCGGCGCCCGACCTTTTTGGTCAGCACACGTCGTGGAAGCTCCAAGTCAACCGCCGCATTTGTCGCAGCACGGCGCTGCATCCGATCGTGCAGCCGCTCCTCGTCGACACGTGCGCATCCTTTCCGTTCCTCTGGAGCGTGCTCTCGGTCTGGACCACGGACGAGCGCGCGAATTGGAAGACGCCGCTCGAAGATGCTGGCCCGCTCCAAGAGAGTGTCCGCACGGTCCTCAAGACCAACATTGGCAAGCTGGATACGCAGGCGCTCTTGACGTACGAAGGCCGCGTCCACAGCCGTGTGCACGACTACGTCCATCTGCTCTCGCGCAACATGCTGCGTCGGTGGCAGCACCTCTTCACGATGCATCCGGAGCTGACGCTGATTGCGTGGTGGGAGCGCGATGGCGCCAAGCCGTGGTTTGACGAAGTCGCGCCGCCGACGCCAGCGAGCTCGACCGACTCGGACGATGACGTGGTGGATGTGACGCCGGTCGCGAGTGCGTCGACGCTCGCCAACCTCCACCAGCTACTCGCCAAGTGCCAGTCGCTCGCGCCGGGCGTGTAAACACCACCCGCGTGGAATCAAAATCAAAGAGCTTTGCCATCCTCGTCACGCTTAGAACGGCCACGGTGTGGGGGTTGTGGGGGATGTTGGCGGGACAAACCGAGTTATGGGCGCCGCAAATGACGGATGCTTGGGCTCTGTCGTCTGCCGCCAGCGTAACGCAGACGCACTCTACTTTGTGTCTCTCTTGATCCCAACTCTGGGAGAGGGTGAGAAGGCGGCGATAAAACCGAACCAAGAAATACCCCAAAATCTCAACAATCATCTCCAAGCACACACACACACAAGGTGACGCGGCACGCGTACTCATGGTAACAAAGACCGCGTCCAGCAAACCACGAGGCATGCTTATCTCATCGTCACTGTCTCGTGAAGCATCGTGGTCGCACTCCTACCGTTCCGGCACACTCGACGTCGTCATGTACATGCACTCGATGCAGCACCTGGCCGTCTCCGAGCGCGATATCGCGCCGCTTGCAAGGTCCGACAACATAATCGCCGACACATGTGCAGCCGACGAGATGGTAGCCGACGTGGCGCCGCCGAGTCTGGCGGAGCTCCACAAGGCTCAGCTCGCGCTTGCTTCCATGGGGGCGGATCGCCTTGCGCAAATCGCATTTATCGACGCCAACCAAGCCGCGACAGCTACGCAGTAGACGCTGGCCGAACTCAGACGCGGTGGAGTCCACCTGGACGAAGCGCAAGATGCGCCCGTGCCCCGAGTGCTACTGCCGTCAGAGAGGTGCAAGCTTCACCTCTTTTACATGCAGCACCGACACCAGTTTCAGAACGGACCCGGTGACTCGGGCATCACGGCCTACGACAAGGCCATCGACGCCTTCAACCAGCTCCCACGGCGCCAGTGTCATGGCACCGTGACAAGAATGCGATGGATATTACTAGTACGATGGACGGCAAGGGTCACAGGGGCGCCTCGCTATGCAGCGCAGCCGATTGCATGTCGTGCCGCAGTGTTTGCAAGACTGCCTCTCTCGAAACACTGCGGCACTACCAGCCTCCCATGGCATGGATACCTTCTACTAGTACATGTTTGGATGCCACAAGTGACGGTCCCCAGCGTCAACCGAACCATTCACGTGCCCCTTGAGCACCTGGACGCGGCCATCAAGGTCCACTTGCGCTTCTCGCGGAAGGCAGCGCGCTCTGACTCTTCGTGCAGCCGCTCGTCGCGCCGGACCTTCCCGACGTTCTTGCGCGTCCACACTTCCATGTCGGTCCGGCTGATTTGGAACTCGATCTGGAATGGATGTTTTCATTGGCTCGAATCTTGATTCTTTATAGCCAATCACAAGACTTGGTTCACGACCTCGCCCTAAATATAGTGTGAGCACCGTGGAGCACAACGACGAGTAGCAGCCCACAGATGCGCCAGCGCCACGTAGCAGCCAGATATACCTCTTCACATACTTCTTGAATGACGTCAACGTCGTTTCCGACGCTGCACGTAGCGCAATCACGCGGAAATCCATTTTCCATTTTTCGAGGTGGTGGCAGAATTGCCCAAATACTTCACGTGACATCGCGGGGTTCCAAAGCTCCCACGACCGTAAAACTGGCTGCCACAGTTGGCGATGGGTCTCGACCCAGGGTGCGACCAGCTTGTTGGTCGCCGTCGTTGCTTGGGCACTCACACCAAACTCGAACTGCCGAGCGTCGGTTTTCGGGAAATTCGACATGCAATTTCGGTTGAGAATGCGTCGAAATCGCGGAAACCGAGGACGCTATCTCTATTTGTTCATGTGAGAGAGCGTTGTTGCATGTGGCCGAGGGAGGCAAAGTGCGCGCGATATCGCTGCGTGAGGAGGCCTTGTATTCCGTACAGTATTTCAGTATAGCGAAAAAGCACACTATATCACAAAATTGTTTGCCGCTGTCATTTTCTCTCGCTACAGTGCTCGCACGGCGACGCCACATAGCATTCTTGACTCCCCAAAGTGTGGTCTAGCACTCTGGCAAGTATGGGCGATTTCATTTTCAAACTTCATTCCGGCCGATCCGCCGGCGCGGCCGCCTGTGTGCACCAAAATATGGTAATTATGGTTGTAAATGGCGAACGCCAATAATGGTGACCGGCGACGACAGAAAGACGATGCCGAGGCTCTTCGGGCACCACTGACGCTGCTGCATTGTGCACGAGGAGACTCCATCAGCATTCTCTACGCACACGTCATCATGAGGTGTCGATCGGTCGCCATGCAGCGTTCCTCGTCGGTCTCCCTCATTTTCGTCAACGCCAAAGCGTTTCAGCCAATCAGAGCGACAAGACGTTGGATTTGTGGCCAATCAGAGCGGCAGCGATGTCACTTGGCCAGTGTTCTTGCCGCGGTTCTCGCACCGATCATCGCCGCCAGCCGAGGCACGTGGTACGTGGCAAGGCGTGCGCAGACCTCAAGCCGAAGCGCTCACGCGACGTCGCTGTAGGTATGGCGCAGCCTATCTATGCGTGACGAGCCACCGAGTAGGCCCTTGGGCAGAGCCCTGGCCAATTTTTCGACGGTCTCTCTCGCACGTCGGCCACGGGATCGCCTCCGAGATGCGCTCCTCCAAGCTCCCAAGACCTGCGACGACGCTGCGAGCGATGGCGCAATATGCTTAGCGTCAATATCGCACGACGTCATGCGCTTGCGCGTCCAGAACGGTTAGCGCTACGGCCACATCCGACCCGACAGCGCGTCCACGCTCCGGTCGCCGCCGCCACACTCTACGTGTACGTACATGCCGTCAACGCTCGAATCTTGTCTCGACGACGCTCGAATCTCAAACGCTTTGCAGATTGTACTTCTTTGGTAGTAGTACCGTGGTAACCTACTCTCAAGGGCCCATCAATATATTTTGCTTTCTGATGGATAATATGCGGGATGCAACAACAATCAGGTTACCGGTACGGCCATTGCTTTCTCAAAGACAATATACGGAATGCAACAACATTTAGGTTAATTATGCATTTTGCATCACATGAACAGAGGACACGACACTACGCACGTGGCTACTTGGCGTACCCGATGGTCTGGAGCGATTTTTCAATCTCGACCAGCACCGACTCGTTTTCGATCGTCGCGGGTACTGTGTACGGCCGCGAGTCTGCGATCGCTTGGATCGTGCGCCGGACAATCTTGCCGGACCGCGTCTTTGGCAGCTGGTCGACGACGAGCACGTCCTTCAAGCACACAAAACTCCCAATTTGCGTCCGGACGCGGGCGACGATCGAGGCCGCGACCGCTTCTTTCGATGCGGTCGTGTTGGATTTCAAAACCGCAAAGGCCACCGGGATGTGGCCTTTCAGCGCATCGGCCACGCCGACCACTGCGCACTCGGCAATGTTGTCGTCGGCCTGAATGACCTCTTCGATCGCGCCCGTACAGAGCCGGTGGCCGGCCACGTTGATGATGTCATCGGTGCGCGACATGATCTACACTTGCGTTGTACGATGTTGTACACTATTGTCTTTTCGTACGTAGACGTAATTGTCGTCGTCAATGTGTCCGGCGTCGCCCGTCGTGTAGTAGCCCGGATGCTCGTCCATGTACTTGGTCACGTACTCGACGTCGTTGTTGTACAAGGTGGTGAACGTGCCTATCCGATGCGTTAATCAAGTTCAACGCCGAGACGGGCTACCAGGCGGCAGCGGCAGGCGCAAGAGGATGCTGCCTTCGGCCACGTCGTTTGGGTCGTGCTCGTGTGTCTTGTCTTCGGTCGCGTAAAACTTGTCTTGGAGCACAACGTCGAACCCTGGGACAGGGCGCGACGCCGACCCGTACTTGATCCCAGGGTGCTCGCTGCCGTTGTCGTTGCTCTGGTCCATCCCCATCATCTGCGAGCAGACGGGCCAGCCAATCTCGGTTTGCCACCTAATGGCACGCACGCTATGTAGTATCGATGCAATTCGAAGCGTCGTACCAATTGTCGACGATCGGCAGCTGGAGCTGGTCCGTGAAGAACTGGATCGTCGCTGGATCCCCGCGCTCGCCCGCCACAAAGAGCGTCCTACAGTATGCCAGGTGAGATTATCTGACTTGATACATTGATAGAAAGGACCGACTTTAGGTGCGACATGTGTTTTTTGTACTTGTGCAGAAAGGTAGCATCCGGGTCTTCTTTTCGGATCGCACGGAGCGCCGTCGGGGCCGTGAAGAGCGCTTTGACGTTGTAGCTCGAGATGACGCGCCAGAACGCACCGGCGTCCGGTGTGCCCACGGGCTTGCCCTCGTAAATGACTGTCTATGCACATATATGATGAGCCTCGATACAATCCAAAAGTATCCAAGAGTATCGAGACGTATCCAAGATGAGGGAAACATACCGCGCAGCCGTGAAAGAGCGGCGCGTAGACAATGAACGAGTGGCCGACGACCCAGCCAAAGTCGGAAGCCGCCCAGTACGTCTCGCCCGGGTTCATGCCCATAATGTTTTGCATCGCCCACTTGAGCGCGACGTTGTGGCCGCCGTGGTCCCGGACAACGCCCTTGGGCTACAAGAGAGCAAAGCTCGTACAAGCAACGTCAAGTGAGAGAGCGAGTACCTTGCCCGTTGTGCCAGACGTGTACAGAATGTAGAGCGGGTCGGTCGACTTGACGGGCACGCACGCATGCGGCGTCGCGCCATCGATAAAGTCGGCCCACGACATGTCGTTTTCGCCGAGGTTGTAGTGGCGCTTCTGGCGCTGGTAGACAACACAGAGCTCGGGCTTGTGCGCTGAGAGCTCGGTCGCGCCCTTGAGCATCGGCTCGTACTCGATGATCCCCTTGGGCTCGAGGCCGCAGCTCGCACTCAGCACGACCTATGATTTTGAAGCACAAAGCGTCGACTAGTGCAAGCGCTACCTTGGGCTTGGCGTCCTCGAGGCGCACCGCGAGCTCTTTGGCCGAGAAGCCGCCAAAGACGACCGAGTGGATCGCGCCGAGACGGGCGCAGGCCAGCATCGCCATGGCCGTTTCCGGGATCATCGGCATGTAGATGACGACGCGGTCGCCCTTCGTGACGCCTTGGCGTGCGAGCGCCCCCGCGAGCACCTCGACATGTTCAAGCAGCTCGGCGTACGTGATGGTGCGCTTCGTGCCGGTCATCGGGCTCTCGTAAAAGATGGCTGGCGCGTCGCCCTTGCCGTTGGCGACATGCACGTCGAGCGCGTTGTAGCATGTGTTCATTTCGCCGTCGGGAAACCACTTGTAGAAAGGCGCGTTGGTCTTGTCGAGGACCTTGGTGTACGGCTTGAACCAGTGAATGTCCTTGGCGGCGGCGTCCCAGAACGCCTCGGGGTCGTCGATGCTCTTGCGGTACTCGGTCAGGTAGTGCTTCTTCGTGGGTGGCGCAGCGGCGCTAAAGACGCGGCTGCTGCGGCACAAGCAGTGGAGCGACGGCGCGGTCCGGCGAAGCAGCATACTACCAAACGACTGCGCACGAGGTGGCGAATGCAGATCTGAGCGCCTTGGAATCGGAGCCAGGATCGCCGCCCGCCTTTCTGATACACGTACGTACTGTACATACAACGACGTACAACGTACATTGCATACAAATCGCACTATCAAGCGTACATTGCGGACGGTAAGATGGAAGAAACGGCAATGTGGTCAATAAAGTGCCGAGCTTTCTTGAAGTTGGCACGTCGAGGGATGATGTGCTCGGATCAGAGCGCTACCAGACCACGAACCAGACGCTCACCGTTCCCATACTACGAACAAACGAGATGGGCGGCTGCAGTCTGGCGCTGCTACAGCGTGGAGATGGCTACCGGAAAAGCTAATAACACGAGGGACCAAAGGAAGGTCGGCTTCGTGTCCGTGGTCGTCCCCACCTTGAACTTAGTCCACCGGCTGTCGAGAACGACGACAAGCGTGTGCAGGGAACGGACGCGAGGAGGCAGCAGAAATCTGGTCCTCGACGTCGCCGGCGAGTGTTCTTCAACGTCGTTGGATGATGATGAGGATGCCAACATACGCTGTACGGTTGATGCGCCGAAGAAGCCTGCAAGGGCAAGGTCGGACGAGCATTGGGTGCGGTCACGTCCGACGCCACGTGGCTGCCAAGCACCTTTTTCTTATTGTAGTGCAGCGTCGGCTACCCGTGTCTGCCCGTGTCCGACGTCCGACATCGCACCCATCTGCAACAGGCCTTTTGCATACCATACGGTATTCACCAGTGGCTGGTTGCGCAATCCCTTGCCCTAAATCCCAAGGCCGATCATGGTGCATGTCTGTGCACCGCAAGATGGCGGCCAAGCGCATGGGTGCATCGCGAAGCTTTCGCCTCGACAGCTCGCTTCTTCGACGGTCCTGTTCGCTGCGAGGCGCCGAGCCCCACCGCCCAGATTGCACTTGGGCGAGCCAGACGGCGCGTCAGTGCAAGGGCTTCTATCATTTGCTGCGTTTTGTGCGGCAGGTTCAGAAGTACCGATGACTCGCGCAGCTCTGTGCAGCGGCTTCCTACTTGGCTCGTACGGATAAAAATCGCATCAAGAAGGAAGACACGAGTCGCTGGAGCCAGCGCATCGGACGGCTTGTGTGGGCGGCAACTTGCCTTGGACTCATCGATGCGCAAGGACGACGCATGTTGCGTCGAAGGTTACGTGTTATAAAGCACTTTAATGTATAAAAACCAAGCGTGTCATCAACTAATAGTCGTACTGGTAGTCCTGATCGCCCAAATAGTCAAAGTAGGTGCCACCAGAGTCTTCGTAGTAGATGCCGCCGTAGCCGTAGTTGGTACCGCGGTTCCAGTTATGATATGATCGGACCACCGGTGGTGTCGTCGGCAAAAGAGGCAGCGCCGCTTCCAGCGCTGCGATGGCGTCGTCTGCCTCGGCTCGCATTGGCGCCGCGCGCGCCCCAGCCAGGTAGCCCACCATGGCTTCGTCCCGCTGGCGCTGTGCTTGGGCACCTGCTTGCGTCCAGATACGGAGACCAGCCGTCGTCGGTCCAAGCAGCGTCAGCGTCACGCGTGGATGATAGCGTGGTAACTTCGAAATGGCGGCGCGAAGCCCGACGCAGGTCGCTGGCACGACCTCACTCAGACTCCGGAGTGCCCCTTGGTCGGCGAGATGACCCGTCATCGCCGTGCACTCGGCGCAGCCGCACAATCCTCGAAGCTGCACCGGCGACGCGACTTCCGTGACATCCAAGGCGCCTTGAAGCACATTTCGTATACTCGTCGCGAGCTGGTCGCGCTGCGCCGTGTACATGGTCAAGATCACGTCGAGGTATCGGAGGAGCGGGTAGAGGACGCGGCGGACGTAGTAGAGCCCATCGGGGGCCGCGAGGACAACGTCGGTGACAGCATTGAGTAGGCGGGTGACGTATTGAGGCGAGAGCAAGTGGCAGGCCGCGAGTGCTTGCGGTACCTTCCACACGAGCGCCATGACAAGCAGTGGGTTCCCACGGGCATTGGATTGCCGCGCCACCGTTGCGACGACCACATCCCGCGTCCGGGTAAGGACATCGTCGGCGATCGCGGTGGCGTCGGCGTCCGACAGCGCCATGCCGCTGCTGCGCAGAGCATACAGGAGGGTGCATATGACGTCGTAGTCGGCTTCGGGAAGCACCGCCCCCTCCTTGTAGACCGCGAGGACGTCACCGTACCGTGCATGAAAGCGAAGGATCCGCCAACAGCCCATCATTCCAGTTGACTTGGTGAGCGCGTCGTAAAGACTCGGGAGATTTCGCTGCAGCCGAGGAACGAACGGTGTCGCAACCGATGTCGGCGACGCTTTGAGAACCGCCGGGAGGACGATGGTGACGAGCACGTCTTCCTTGTAGACAGTCGTTGTGAAGGCATACACAGTGGTCGGAAAGGGCTGCGAGGAAATCGCGGTGGCCGCCGCCTCGAGCTCGAGCGCCGCTTGGAGCATCGGTGCGTGCAGGCGGTCCGGCATGACATACGGGTACGCATCGAGCGACGGAATGGCCGCGAGCTGCATCGCAATGGTCTGCCAGCACTGGACGAGGAGCGGGCCAAAGCCGTCTTGCGCGGTGTGCGCTGCGCTGGAGATGAAAAGCCGGCGCATCCAAAGGATGGTTTTGCCAAGGAAGTAGATGCCCTTGTGCTTGGGCGTGCAGAGAGCGACCACTTTACTGGCGATCGCAGCGACACCGTACGTAGCGATGGCGGCTTGGAACCAGTAGAGACCGCGGCGACGGGACGTTCGTTTGCGCATCGTAAAGCTAAATGGTAGAAAGCCCGCCACCAAATCCGGTGACGGGTGGCGCAGCAGATACGCGCCGACCGCGGCCACGTGGGCGTCGGTGAAGCGCACGCCCGGGGCACCGATCGCGTCGATGAGGCTGGCGGCGGCGTCGTCGGTCGTTGCAAAGCCAAGCTGACTTGGCTCGTCCTTCTCGAGAGCAGCGGCGGCGGCATCAAGTCCAACGATACGCGCTCGGTGGCGCTTGGGCCAAAACACGAGGAGGACGGAGCGCAGTCGCCGGAGACCGCGCCGTGTGACCCAGCGCCCGACCGACCGATGGAGGAGCGCAGCTTGTATGGCATCCGACGACGTTGGGTGCAGGAGCGCTTCGGTGATGCGGCGCCACGGCTTGCGTGTGCGGATCTTGTCGCAGCCGCAATGACTGTCATACATGTAGTCTTCACGCATGCGTCGATACGCCGCGTTGACACCGACATCGCTTTCGTTGCCGTCGTCTGCCGTGTTGCGGGTGGCATACGGCGTGTACCGGCAGTACGCTTCGTCGTACTCGTCGTCGTACTCGTTATTGTACTCGTTGTTGTCGGGGACGAATTCATACGCGTCGACGGTTCCGTCGTCGTCGTCGTCGTCGTCGTCGTCGTCGTCGTCGTCGTCGTCGTCGTCGTCGGCATCAGCGTCACTGTAATACCGCCAACGCCTTACTGCCTGAGAATAGTCGTCGTCGTCGAAGTCTGCTTCGTCGCGGCGGCGCTTCGTGCCCGCCTTCTTCTTCTTCTTCTTCTTCAATTTGGTAGCATCGGGAAAGCTCGTGTCGACGGCGTTGTCCACAAAGTACAGACGGTCTTCGTGGAACGCATCTTTTTTCGTCTTGGATCGTGGCTGCCCTTCCTCGACGTCCTGGTAGAACATGTCGTCGTCGCTGCAGTCGCCGGCGTCCGACGCGTCCGTGTCTGGATCGTCATGGTCGTCGAGGTCTGCATCCAAGTGCTTGATGCCAATCTCGTCGTAGCCGTGCGGCGTGCGCTCCTCGGAAGGTAGCTTCGTCCGCTTTGGTGCGGTCGCTACTTTGGGTCGTCGGCCAAAGTCTTCGCGCGGCCTCGTGTTGCACTCGTGCGTGTGCAGGTCGGCGCGCGTGAGCTTGCGCCGAGGCGCCCGGACGAGCGCGACATCAAACGTCCCAGCGGCGACCAGTGCCTTGAGAAACGCAGCATCCCGACCTTGAAGCGCCTCGAACCGCAAATCGATGGTCTTGTTGAAGAGCCGGTACGCATACGTCGTGTCGAGCTGGTGGGGTTGGGCAGCGAGGGCCGCGAGCTCGCCGGCGGCGGAGTACGTCGATGCCGGGCTCGTCCGATGCGGCTCGCCGTCGCTGCTGACCAAGCTGTACACAAGGTACGCCCGGTGTCCCGGTGTTGCGATCGGTGCTACGGTGATGCTGCAGTCGTTGTACCACGCAGCAAAGCTCATGGTCATATCCGTAAAGGGCATCCACGCAGTGGCGTCGTCGTTGCCCGACAACGTGATGCGCCGAACGCACGTCGACGGCAGCGCAATCGCCAATGTTCCGAATGAGCCTCGGGGCACATGCGACGGCGTCAGCACGGGCAATGCGCCGGGACCGTCGATCGTCACATGCGAGAGATGGAACGTGATGTGCTTGCAAACGGGTTTGAGGACGCTCGTGACGTTGTGCAGCATCCAGCCGTTGAGGTAGCGCACCCACTCGTGCTCGCCTTGGACAAAGTAGATGTGCTCCTTGGGCACGACGAGCGGCGCAGCGCCAAAGCTGGCGATGACCGACGCGGGCTGCTTGACCGGCACCAGATCCGGCGACGGCTTGTAGCCTTGCGAGCGGTCGACGCCAAGCTTGGGCGGGCCAATGCCAAAGAGCTCGCCCGTCAAAGCGTACTGGCCAGGCGTCTCGATGGTGCCATCGAGGTTCCGAAGGACCTCCATGTACGCCGCCGACGGAGACGACGTCGCCTCCTCCTTCGTGCCACCCATCGCCAAACGCGGAATGCTGGTGACGTGCAAGTTCGCGCGTGCCAAGTTTCGCTTCAGATAATACTACTGTTTGTATGCAATTCAAATACGCGACATGTGGAAGCGAACTTCAGCGCTGGTGGGCGGTTTCCGGTTGATGTGCATCAACCGACCGAGTGGCGCTGCGCGAATGGTAACCAGCCACGGACTATCCAAGAAACGATGACGTTGGATCTATCCAGCACATGATTGATCTATCCAGCACGTGATTGATCTATCCCGCCGCATCAACTAACAGTGGGGTGATGAAGACGACGTTGCGTGCACAGGTCCCTTCCAGTCGGGGTCTCTTCTCGTCACACCACATGCCTCGCATGTAGCTTGCTCGCTACATTTTGCTTTCTACATATTCCCACTGTCGACAGATTCTATCATACTTGGAGTACAAAACGTTACCACGCTATTCCGCAACACTACTAGTACATTGGACGGGATGTCATCCCTTCAGTCGTTGTTTTGCCTGCTCGATGTCTCGTCCACGAGGGTCCAGACGCAAAAGAGGCTGTAGAGGGCGACGAGGAAGAGCCCAAAGGTCGGCGTGAGCTCAATGTCTTTGGCCGGGTACCTTGACCCGAGCACCAAGAGCGAGAGCAGCGCGATGGCCAAGACAACAAAACCAATGCCGAGCGATCCATTGTGGTCGGCGCTCCAGATCGCGACGCGGTGGTTGGTGGCGTAGAGACAGCCGAGCAGCAGCGAGAGGCCGCCGCCAACGAGCGTGTTGAAGATCGGCCCGGCAATGCACGCCGCCGTCGCCATGTGCACGTGGCCTTGCCGGACCAGCGCGCGGTTCCCGACAAAGTCGCCGATCGAGTTGCCCCACGCGAGCACGAGGATACCAAGTGTTCCACTCGAGATCCCGACGCCGACACCGAGGACGTACATGACGGCGACGATCTCGTGGCCAATCACAAAGACCCAGAGACTCGAGAGAAAGAGGGCAAGGAACGATCGGAGAAGCTGCCACGACCGACGCGCACCGTCGCACCAATGGTACGTGAGGCCCGCGAGGACAGTGCTAACGACGAGCGCAGCACCAAACGCCGTCAGAGGCACGTGCACAAACCGCGTACTCACCGCCAAAAGAAAGGACGGCAAGGCAAAGGCGACGGTCGTGAGCTCCTTGCGCGAGACGACGGGCGACTCGAGCCGGGGCACCGTGACGTGGCGCGCCAAGAGAAACGGCGCGAGCAGCACAAGCACCACCTTGTGCAGTCGCCCGACCTTGTCCCAGTCGGTGACGTCGCACCAGAACGACCGCGGCGACTCGTCGACGCTCATGAGTGTGTCGGTCGTCGACGCGCATTCGTCATCTTCATCGTCCTCCTCCTTGGGATCCATCGACACAGCAATGTCCTCCGTGGCGGTGGTGGCGGGCAGCACGACATGTGCTTTGTCGTCGTCGTCGTCGTCCTCGATCGCTGGCGGCGGCATGCTGGGCATGCGCACGACCGAGACCGTGTAGACGGCATACCAACCGATCGCGGCGATGGCCATGGGCACCGAGATGTAGCCAACGCGGTAGGCGAGCAAGAGCCCAAGTACCGTCACGAGGTAGAACGCGACGTCGCGCATGAACGGCGACTTGCGCAGATCAAAGCCATCCGCGAGATACGCCAAGTGCCCGAGCGTAAAGACAGCGACAACGAGGCCGCTGCCGATCAGCCCGCCGACGCCAAACCCGCTGTGCGTGTGCGCGCCCGAGAAGGATGCGACGCACGAGAAGAGGTCGGGCGCGCCGTTGGCAAAGGCGAGGAGCGTGGCGCCGGCGACGCTCGGGTCGAGTCGCGTCATGGCTGCGATCGACGTGACGGCCGGGACCATATACCGATCGGTCGTGTCGCCGACGCTGTAAAAGAGGAGGCAGAGCAGTGTCGAGAGCAGCGTGACCGAGATGAGCGGCAGCGCATCCATATCGCAGTAGTGGAGGCTGAGGTAGTCGATGGTCGAGACGCGCGTCGCGTGGGCGCAGGCGCATCGGAGCTCGTCTGGCACCGCGATGAAGCCCGGCCGACCGCAGTTGTCCGGAAAGACAAAGAGGCCCGAGACGACTGCCGGCGCCAGCAAGAGCACGCGCCACGTCGTCGCTGCCATTGCTCACGGTGCACGTCGAGGTCGCGTCTGATTGGCATTTGGCATACGAGACAGGCAGGTATCTTGCGGTTTGTATTATATACAAAATGCAAGTTGAAATAGCATCGTCACGTCGTGAGACTTGAAATGTGTCCTTTCTACTGGTATGGACCATTGGGTATGGGTATGGACCGACCGTTGATGTATGCATTGACGGTTTGAGTGAAGTATAGCCCGCATTTTGCGTCCGCGGTCCAGTCGTGTGATTGCGTCACTGCTTCGTCGCCTTGTCCCCGCTGGCTACACGCACCAGTGCCGACAGCTAGCGCCGACATCATGGCTGGCGCCTTGGTTCAATGGATTTGTCATTATCTCTCGTGATACGCCTCCAGCGGCGACTTCAGATGGCGTTCCGTGCTCTCCCATTCGTGCTCTATCGGTAGACCGAGTATGAGGCATTTCATTTCAGACTTTGAGTCGGCGCCTTGGTTGCGTGCCGACTCTGTTGGTGCTGCTCCCAATGGAAGCAGCGCCTTGGGAGCCTCCCAATTGGTCTAAAAGAATACAAATACGCCAATCAAACGTCCAATAGAGTGGTCCAATCCGCGATGCTGTACCGCGTGGCCCACCAGGTTTGTACCGATGGGATTGGTCACGGCCACACTCCACCGCCTGGATTTTAGCCAATCACATCACGGCATGACTATTCTGGCATCACGGCGCCATTTTGATTTTTGCACCTTGCAGCATGACAAGCCTCATGACCTCGTGGCACGACCTCGTGGGTCCTCGTTTGCGCTTGAGTGGCGGCAAGGAGGTTGCGACGGCAGACCATCTCGCATCCACGTCGGTCGTCGGCCTCTACTTTAGCGCCCACTGGTGCGGTCCGTGCCGCGAGTTTACGCCTACGCTCTCGACGCTGTACGACGACATTCTGGACGCGCACCCGGACTTTGACGTGGTCTTTGTCTCGAGCGACAAATCCGAGGACGACTTTTGCCTCTACCACGACGAGATGCCGTTTCCTGCCTTGCCGTGGGCCGACCGCACGCGCCAAGCGGCATTGCGCGAGCACTTTCACATCCGGTTCTTACCCGCGCTCGTCATTTTGAATACCGTTGACGGCAGCCACGCGGTTGTGCGCAACGCGTGCGATGGCCGGCGACTCTTTGTGTCGGCCAACGGCAATGTCGACAAGATCTGGGACACGGTGCGCTACGGCCCGCCGTCGCTCGCTGCTTAGGGCGATGGCAGCGCCCGCGTGCGAATGATATCGCGTCTCGATGAGGTTAGGTAGTAGAATTGAGCTTACATGTTAGTAGTTGATCGTTAAAGATGTGTAATCCAAAAACTCTTTTTCGTATTGAGTCGGAGGGCGAAGAAGTGAGTACGCGTTTGTGCTTACGTGGATGTGCTGCGTTCGAGTGGTCGGCACACTGTTTGCACCGCGGTGTGGCAAGGCCACCCTTGGACAGCTCCAGACCAAGATAGCGTTGGTCTCGGACGCCGAGCTCAAGACGCAGCTTACGCGCGTGCTCGCGACCGATCGCAAGCGCCAATCGAAAGTAAGTCGATTCGAGTAGTGGACCTAACAGCAACAAATCGATCAGTATAATAGTACTGCGACGTACCCGCGCGAGGGGCAAAGCTCATGCGTCGGTGGAGCTCGGGTACGGTCACTCGAGCATCCAGTGGGAGCTCGGCAATATCCATATGACCCTTCGTAAGGGCCAAGACGATCGCATCTTCGGAAGCGAGGTTGGGCTGGCAGCCAAGAATGCGTTGGACGAGGATGAAGATGCCCTCGGTAATCGACAAGTGGAGCAGCAGACGTTCGTCACGCTGGTGTCGGTGTAGACCGTACGAGCACGCAGAGAACGCGGAGACTTCATCGGGCCGCGTTCGGCGCCACTCTTTCTCGGGCATGAACGCCTTGCGGAACGACGCGTCGCATTCGTATCCTCCACGGGTGGCATCAAACTCGACGAGCTCCCGGCAGACGACAAACTGTGGACGCACGTCTCTGTGTTCGAACCCCACCAGGTAGCCAAAAACAATTCTGGCAATTTCGGGCTGCTGCAAGACGCTGCCGACGAAGGTCCATGACATGGCTCCCGCGTACGCTCGTGCTGTCAAATTCGGAAATGACGCCGTATCAAGACTTATTCCGTTGCCGGATGAACGTAAGATAAATGCACTCAATCAAGTACACTACATGTGTAGTTTGACTGCCTTCAACCACGAAACGGCGTACTACCTACCCGGTACTAATATAAGCCGCTGGCCAGACGTATTGACGCATTGCCACGTAGCTTGCTTCCTCTGCGGTCGCGGTCTTGGAGTGCGACGAAATTCGGGAAGATGTACTTAAATAAGCGAAAATCTAAGCGCAACTGGCGGCACTGCCTAATGCCAAGAACCACCTTGTCGATACCAACGCCACTGGGGAAGAGACGAAAGGGACGACATCCACGCGGCATGCATCCCACACGTCCTACGCAAACCACTGTCTGGTCAAAAAGGAGGGGGATCGACTAGGAACTATTAGAAGGTGCCGTCTGCATCTTAACATCACGACTATCCATTGGCAACGTGCATTCTCGACCTCCTTTGCAGACGTCCCTCAGAGCTCGTCGAAGTGTGTGCGTCTCGAAATGATCGACACGGCAGCATCTATGACAGAAACATAACTTGAAGGCGTATGACGGCTGTCGGTGCTCGCGCTGTAGAAGTTCTCGGTATCTTGCACCACCGTTCAGCCTCGGTACCAGGTATGTTGAGCCAAGGAAATAAATAAGCTTATTTATTCCCTTGGTTGAGCCTATGACGTGGCGCTCTATGGCGCAAGGACTGACCATCTCGTCCAGCCATCTGGTTTTACGTGGCAAGACAGACACGCCTGCTACAGTGTCACCGGAGTCAACGATATGCAGTAACTCACAAGACAGCGCAAGGGCCAGCTCTCATGCTCCTTGATCGCTCCGCAGCGTGGTGATACGCGACCCTGAAAAGGACAATGTACTGTACGCCAATACATCGTCGGAACGGGAAGTTCTCGGAGTGCTCCACCAACGCAGTTGGTGGCCACTACCCGCAAAACTCCTGTATATGCCTTCAGTGGAGGTGGCTTTGGCCCCGGAAGCAGCTGCGATGAGCAGCTATCCGGTTTTCCCCCTCCACGACCCAATCCGGCATTAACCGGATTGTCATCCGGTTCACCGATTGGTCACACGGGCGCGCGTTGTCACGCTGCCCACCAGTAAAGTGGTAAATATAGACCGGAAGACCCGCACACTGTCTTGTTCCTCGTTGCCACTCATAGCGTACTACCACCTTGTAAGTTCATGCACATATCGAATTCTTGCGATCGACCGCAGGATGGCCGACAAGGACGAAGCCCGCTTCTTGCGCTGGCTCACAGAGAATGGCGCCAAGATCGACGCGCTCGCCATCACGCACGACCTTGATGGCGGCCGTGGCGTCGTCGCGACGCGGGATCTCGTGCCCAATGAAGTCGCCATGTCGATTCCCGAGGCGCTCATGATCTCGGAGGCGTCCGTGAAGCTCGACCCGGACCTCGGCCCGATCTTTGCCCGACATTCCGACCTCTTTGCCCGCGATGATCCGCTCTTGGCGACGTTCGTGGCGCACCACATGGACCTTGGCCCGCACTCATTCTACTACCCGTACCTCTCGATGCTGCCCACGCCCGAGTCGATCCAAAACTGGACCATCGACGAGCTCGCGTCCTTGCAAGACCCGTACATCTTCTTATTGTAGAAATGATATCTTATTGGCCATCGACACTACGTAGGCGCCTCTTGGAGATCGCCAACCAGCGCAATGCCGAGATCGTCACGTGGTACGAGCGCCTCACCGAGCGCCTCTTCCGCCTCTACCCGGTACATCTCCATCCATTTTCGATACTATGTCTGACATCTTGTATACAGGAGCTCTTTAACGCGACAAGCTTTCCATTCGAAACCTTTCATTTTGCGTGGCAGACGATCCAAGCACGCACGTTTGGTACCGGTATTCGAAATTCCTCCAAGCTATTCCAAATGCGATAGCGTAGGCCGGTCCCTTCCGTGGTCATCGCTTGTGCCTTTTGCCGACATGCTCAACCACGCCAACCACGCCACCATGTATGCGTACGAAGACAAGACGTTTGAGTGGCAATCGTCCATCGCTTACAAGCGCGGCGACCAAGTCTTCAACAGATACGGCCGACGCCCCAACCGTACTACTATCTATGCTATCTCCTACACATTTCATAGCTTGCACTAGACCAACTGCTGCTCCACTATGGTTTTGCGCTGCGCGAAAACGCCTGGGACTATATCGACATGGACCTGCACCTCGCGGCGTCGTACCCGAGTGCCTTGTCCAAGACGGAGCGTCGCGCGGTCCTCAGCAAGGCGCACCTCATGCCGTTCAAGACCAGCTTCCGATTGACGCATGACACGTCCGTTGAGTCACTGCTACCGTACTTTTGCTGCCATTTCTTGACGGCGTACTGCGAGGACGTTGATGTCTCATGCCCGCTGTCGGACGTCCGCGTCGAGATCAAGGCCATTACGGTCCTCATTGAGGTGCTGGAAGAACTCGCTGCTGCGTTTCCCACCTCGCTCGAAGAAGACGCCGCCTTGCTGCAAACCAACGACCTCCCCGACCGCCTATTGGTGGCGCTCACGTTTCGAATGGGCCGAAAGCAGCTTCTGTCGAATGTCATTGTTGCTGCGACAGCCATGCTGCAGAGATTAACCAAATAGTCGATGAAAAAGACAACTTGTCCAAAGATTTAGACATTGGGTTGTGGCAAGCCTCGTCCACGACGGGTCCTCTGAGATGCAAGCCGTGCGATAAAGGTTTCCGGTGGTGGAATCGGTGCATCAAATCAATCTCATTGTTGTTGTTAGCTCCACTACTACTGTACTGACCAACATCTATTGTCTCAAGCTCAGCGCTTGCGCTTGGTCGCGAGCACGCGCGTAAGCTCCGTCTTGAGCTCGGCGTCGGAGACCAAAGCTGTCTTGGTCTGGGGCTGTCCAAGGGTGACCGTCGCGTCGATTGCGTGGAGATGACCAATCACAAAAATCAACGCCCAGTTGACAACGTTGCCGGATTGCAGCAGCGCAGTTGCGCGTGCCGCCACGATCGGTTTTAGCTGAATCGTAGGGTTGGCCTTTGGTCCTTGGTACGCGAGCTCGGGCGTGATCACCCAAACGATTGTTGCACGGCGGCCGCCGGGTATCTTCAAAAGGTCCAAGAGGAAGAGGATGTTGCCGAGATGTCGTGTCGCGTGCATGCAGTACGGCAGCAGAAGTTTGCTCTCAGTCACAAAGTTTCGACGACCTGAAAAACTTGATGAGGCAGTTGCGAGGCTGGCCAACGCCTGCTGCGAGGAGGAAGCGCATCGCCTCGGCGTTGTGGTTGGTTACAGTGTCTTGAAGACATTTGTCGTCGCGGAAGAATTTGAGCTGCGGCTTCGAGTTTGCGAACGGTGAGGGCCTGCAGGAGCGCAAGGTGAGAGTCGTCGACGATGCAGTTGGCCAAGAGAAAGTGCACCACGTTCCACGTCCAATTAAAGGCCGCCATATCGAGAGCCTTGGAGTGATTGTACGCGTCCGAGCGCTCGTGGAGAAATTCGACAAGCGGCACGTTGTTGGTGCTGCATGCTTCCGCCACCCAGTCTTGTTCCCAGGGATCGCCTTGTGCAACGAAAGGCGACGACGTCGAGATGACCGCTTGCAGCCGACAGGTTCATTGCAAATGTCAAGCACTTCGGACCGCGTTCCTCCAACGTTAAACGAGGGCAAAAAGCCTGCCGGTCAGCGACGTCGTAAATTACGACGTCAATAGAGTGATTTTGCAAGCGTGGAATTCAGGATTGTTCGGCGCGCGACATTCCTGAAAACTCAAAGATGAAAAGTGGGCGCGTCCGATGTTTTGCAAACGTGCAGAAGTTTTTCGCTTTGGACCGGTCATGGACGACGCCCTGCTCGCACTCCCTCTCGTCGCGATTCTCGCCCAACACCCCGTCGTGGCCTCTCGATCGTTCTCTAAGGCCGTCCTAAGGTCGTCAGAGCGCCGGCGGCGCCTGATGACTGTGACGAGGTCACGGTGGATCACACACATGTGCTCGGCGAACTCTTCCCAGCGCTTTGCGGTCTGGCCGTAAGGACAGTCGTGTGGCACGGACAGTTGGGTGGCATGTGGGCTCACAAGCATGACATCCGAGGC